GCTCCTGGCAATTGCTTCAATATTTACACATAGGGCCAAAAAATAATTATTCTGCTTCCGGTACCCCACTTACCCTATTTTGAAAGCCCCTACCCTAATATTGTTTTGGGAACAATGAAAAAAATTAAACAAAAACCATCAATTACCGCCTTTTACCATGGAATACACGCAGACACCTACATATGATCAACACAAAAAGAATGCACCCCACAAGAATTCCCTACCTTCCTACCCTATTTTCAAATGCCATGTTATCGGAAACAGAACTATTTTTTGGCCTAGGCTGTATGTACCAGGTACATCTAAGGACATGAAACCACTTTGAGTAAGTATACCCAGTAGAAATATTACCATTTTGCCTTTCTATGCAAATATTCAGCCCTCTACTTTAAAATGTGGCTCCACCCCTAAAAGGGCAAAGTCCTTGCAACCTTTTAAACTTATCTTTACAGTGTATGGCAAACCTAGTTAACCAATGCAAAATTTGTGTTTTACCAGCAAAAGTGCTGATTTTCACTCGTTTGAATGAAGCTGCTTTAATGTGAGGACTCCTTTTCATATTTAGGCCACGCCCCCAAAAGGGTAAAAAATAACAAGTGTTACAATGTTGGATTTTTTTTATCATGTCTCTGTTTATTTAAAAGCATGAAGAACAAAGGAAAATGGATGTTAAATACAGTTTTTCTAAACTGTTATTTGTTTGCACTCCCCTTTTAACCGATCAAGCTCCGCCCCCAAAATGGCAAGATCCAAGATGGGTCCACCTCTTAAAATGATTTTCAGCCCATTTCGACTATACATGCTAATTTTCAAGATTTTACCACCCAACTGAATGATATTTTTTATATATTTGAACCAAACTGCTAATATATACCGCCTCTTTTACACATTTAGGCCACGCCCACAAAATGGGTGGAAAATAACAGGTGTTTACAAGCTAGAATGTCTTATTTTATGTTATTTTCAAAGCATAGAAAAACTACAAAATGGAAGTTAAATACAGTTTTTATTGTTTGCACCCCCTTTTTCAAAAAAATTAGCTCCTCCCCAAAAATGGGCAAAATGCAGGATGGGTGGGTCCCGATCTGAAAATGATTTCTAGCCCATTCCGACCCCACATGCCAAATTTCATGCTTTTACCACAAAGTGCACGATTTTGGCCAAAAATGGACCTAAGCAGCTCCACTAACTGCCGAGTTGAGTTATGAATATGTTTATGTAACAACAAAGGATCACGAAATTAAATCCTTTCCATCACAATAAATAATTTTGCTGAAAAATGCATCTTTAACGGTTTGCTAAATTTCCGTAAACATTTTATGTACACATACGAGTTCTTTCTGGCTTGATGACGTCATTCTTAAAAAAAACAGGAAGTAATAATGATTTAGTTCGGAGTGGATAAATGTTTTTTTGTGAAGTTAAACAACATATGCAAGTATGGAAAATATAACTGTAAGTATTTATAACACCCAACTTCCAGTTCCATGACGTCACTAGTATTTGGAAGCAAAAGGTTAACATTTTATTGTTATGGTATCGTTATTTGGGCTACGAAGATATACGACATGGATCAAATGATAGAATTCAATTTAAAATATGATCATTTTCAAATGCTCATCGACGTAACTTCCGGTCTGATGACGTCATGAATTTGAACCGTACCAAGTTATCTGTGGTTTATCAAAGAATATCAAGGGGCGATTTGGTAAAATTGGAACCGATGTTCTTTAGATTGAAGAAAACAAACACAATTTTATGTGCCGCTAGGGGGCGCCCTTTTGGATTATGACGTCATCACACTGTTTTTTTGACTTGCATTTCTCACTAAAAACTTGCATAATATACATGTCGGTAGTAAAATGCTTCCGTTTTGGCGTTATATTCAGTTTTCATTGCAATTCCGGTAACACCGGAAGTAAAGGTCAGCGGCTTTGTGTCCGGGAACAAGAAATGTTTCTCACGGCATAGTCTTACAACCTCACGAAAAAACGAACACGATACTCTATTTATTTCAAAAGATATAGCACAAACTGTTTTGTCAAAATTTGCCCTTAAATCGCTTGTAATGTAATGATAACGTAATGATGACGTAACAACATCTTTCTAACATGGTACAAGTTCACACAAGTTTTTTGTGATTGTACAGTAAACCGTTCGGAAGAAATTTAGCTTTGTTTTGATTTCAGGCTAACGTATTCATTTTGAATTCACCTAACTTTGACCTCCCGGTATACCCGGAAGTAAAGGTCAAGCGAGTTTACGTACATTTCAAAAAATGTTTATCAATTAATGGTCTATCTGATTACAGAGTACAAACATCATTGATTACCTTGTTCAAGAGTTATCGATGAACGTAATTAGTCCAGGTGCGGTTCTAGAACCAATATTTTTTTTTTTTTTGGGGGGGGGCTAGCAGGGTGGATCCAGAATGTAGACCGGTTATTGTCTCCAGACACTTAGGCTTCCGAAAATCAATAGGTGGGTGGGTGGAGGGGGGGGGGGGGGGCTCATGCCATATTTTCAATGGGGAGCGCCAATAAAATCCTACAATCATTCACACTATATTAACTACAAATGCACCCTTGTCACGACTATTTATTAAGGGGGAGACCGTGTACATCACATGTACATCACAATCCTTCTATTTTGCTAATGCAATTTTTTTTTTAAGGAATTTATTTTGGGGGGCTAGAACCGCGCCTGAATTAGTCACTTTTTCAGCTAAAATCGCTTGTAATTTGACACCCGATGACGTCATAATAACGTCAGAGTAATATGCACCACTTGGGATGAGGATCGATTTATATTGAAAGTTACAAGTTCATATCATTAACCGCTTAGGAGAAAACCCGCGGAAACGTGCTGTACGGAAAAAAGAGAAAGAAAGAAAGATTAATTGTAACAGATTCAAAGTGTGGTCGGGTTGTGCCCGACCACTCAAAGATTAATCGTAACGGATCTAAAGAGTGGTCGGGTTGTGCTCGACCACTCAAAAAGGAAAATGAGGTGTTACAGTGCAACCGAAAAACCTAGATTATTTTAACGCGTTCCGTGTGTTTATTGTGCCGTGCGAGTTGTATTTTTAATGAGATACCGAAGGTATACGTTACCCCGCTTCGAATGGATCCGTCTTAAAGTTTTTAACCAATAACGTATTATTCAATTCCCGCGTAGACTTTCCGCAGCCACTTACAACCTAGGCGTAGTCGAGTCGCAAAACCCCCATCCCATCTTACGTAAGAACGTTTTGTACATAGGCCATGGTAATTGAGAAAGTGCATCTTAATCGTTGAACAAAACCGCACCAATTAGTAGACAACAGATCGTATTGTATTGAACCAAATGCAGCGTTTAGGACTTTTTTTTCCATGTTGTGAAGTGAGTGAATTTTGTTGAGAGAGGGAGAAGACATTTTAGACCTGATCGAGAGACGATCTAGAGTGAAGGTGGGAGAGAGAGAGTGATCGTGTTTGCCAGACCGGTTTCAGCTTGCCCTGCACCTAAAATCTGATGACAGCAGATTTAGCTTTTGGATCAATTTAATCCTGCGGGAAAACGGAAAGTTCAGTTCCGTTTCTCAGAATTTGGTATATCAAGACCAAATTCCAGCGTCATAGCGTCCCGGTCATCTTGACATTTCATAGCAACCGTCCACCTCCCCAGGTATTCGCCCAGATAAATTACCGTAAGTGTTGATCTATGGAGTTTTGTATAAATCTTTATTACTGGAGTGATCTCTGGGATGGATGGTGACTAAGTTGATTTTGAAATGAAGATTGGATTGATCTTTAGAAGTTATAGCATGATTTTGAAACGACCCAAAAAAGTCAAAGATCGTAGAAATGTAGAATTTTGATCATTAACGACAAATCTTGAATTTGACGTTAAGAATTTGTTTGAACATGAGAATTAGGATTAAAGAGTTTGATAACGGAAAAGTCACCTATTATGATTAAGAATTTCGAAGTAAGGATTTTAGTATACACGAGATATTTCTTGAGGATTTGGAAAGCAAATCAGATCATGTAGAATGGTAGGGATGTTTAAGTTTATGTATTACGAGAAAACTCGAAAGGTTTTGGATCTTATATTTATTTTAGATGACCTCTTTATTCGATATTGAGTGATCCGTCGGCAGTAACACCGACTGGAGAGGAGTCTACCATTGACTAGCAGCAGCCGTAGACAAGGCTTTGAAGCATGGTACTGATGTAGCGTGTATGCAGACCAGTCCTGCAACCTAGTGGGCAACTTGTGGCTCAACATCAGTTTGGAGAGTATCAAAAATAAGTTTGATTAAATCTGTGAGTCACACGAAATAAGTATAACCGGTGCAATTTGGAAAACTTTAGCGTACCTCAGAAAAGTAAATTCTTAATGTAATTGAAATTAGTTTGTAAACGAATAAGAATACACCGGAGAGAAACCAAGCATTTAACCATTTGATAATTGTTGGAAATAATAATTTCGAGTTGAAGTGAACTGAACTGAAGATAAGAGTTTTATCGAATTCTAGTGAACTTAGAGGAATTGAATTGTAAGATATGTGCTGTATATATGTAAAGAAGAAGTTGTGAAGTTTTGTTTTTTCAAATATAATTGAAGAAAGTAAGAAGTTGTTTTATTCCCGTTTTTCATTCTGTCTGTTGGTGTGTCCATAGGATCCGGGGTTGCCATTCCTCTTATATATTAAAGATATAATTTAACCAAATTCTGGAGTGGTGACAGGAGGTAAAGTAGGAATACTTGAAACCCTATTGTTGCCAAAACAAGACAGTTGCCCGTTACCTCGTGTATTATAGCGATATCTCAAACAACCATTGCCACATTCAAAATACTTTTCATACATAATAAATGTCAACTCTTAACAAGATATTCGACTGCAATGCTACACAATCATAGAGCTATATTAATATAATATAGCTCTATGTACACAATATATTTGTATTTTCAGCGTAGCAGCTTCTTGTACAAACCCAAACACGCCCAACACGTACCTGCAGATGCTATGTAGTTACCACTGGGAGCATACTTGGCTACGGTCAGAAATTCTCCGGGCACGCAATACATGTCGCATATTGCAGGATTCTGATACAGAGAAATGAATTGCAAATCAATCAAGAAGTAAACATGACACAAATTTCAACATTAGTCAGCGGAATTCGCGGTCAATTGGACAAAAAATGCAAAAATGCATTTGGTCGGTAGTACACGTTATTTCTAAAGTTGATTTTAATCTTTGCCTACGCTGTTACCATATCTTTTGATATACACCATTTGCCTTAATACAACCATTTTCATTGATTTACAACAATTAACTACAACCCATTGTCATTGAGGTACCAAATGAAAGACAGTTTACCCATTCCTACTGGTCGAGAGTCCGTCGCTTGGGTGGTTTTAAACAATCGATAAAACACCGGCAGGCTGGCTTAAATATAGGTTTTCCCGGCCAATTTCCTAAAATGTTCATTCACTTCTGAAAATCGGTAAGTTATTTTCGACTGAATTTCAGAATCGCTCTAAACACGAGTTTTATAGGTTTTCTCGGTCAATTTCGGCAAATGAGCAGCCAATTTAATTTCTGTGCGTTCGAATTGAAGCTATTTTGCCTCTCCAGTTCAAATTCAGAATTCGGCCATTCAATTTCGTTTTGAGGCATTCAAATTCCTTTAGCACTGTGTTCAATTTAGCATATCGTCATTCTTTTTCGTGACACACAATCATCATTCAATTTAGCAAAGCTGGTTCGACTTGAGATTTTACTGACTTAATTTTTTTTCAATTTCGTAAAGAGGCAATCAATTTCGCTTAAAGAGAATTCAAATAAGTACGACTAAAGAAATACAAATAAACAGATAAACTGTACTAGGCAACTGTTTCGTATCTTCACTTTAATTCAGGCAAACCTTGTTTTCTTTATTTATGCTTCCAGTAGACTTTACATGGGGCCAATAAGGTTTTTTCTTCTTCTTTGTTTTCTTCTTCATTCTTTTTTTTTTGGGGGGGGGGATCTTTATTGGTTAACTGACCAAGACCTAATTTTGTATTGTGTTTGAATGGGGTGTTTCTTTATGTTTTTCCTGTTTTTTTTATTGTTTATGTTGTTTTTTCCTCAACCATCAATCTGTTGGCGTGCCAGACATATTGGCATATATGTTTGGGTATGGTTGTACCACTGCATTCACTTCACTTGGGTGATGACATCAACGCTCTGGATGGCTGCTTGTTGAAGGAGATCGCATCTCCACTGCTGCATGTTCATTCCTGCTTGCTGGGCAGCCTGTCTGTCTCCGACACGTTGTTGCCACTCAGGTAACCCAAGGATGCGTTTAACTGCAGCCTTGAATGCAGAGTGTGCCATCTCCGTGCTGTTCAGGAATGGGGAGTAGGGAGGGAGGCGCTTCAGCTGGATCATTGGGTTGGCACCTTCAGGGAGTTGGGCTCGCACGTGAGGCCTCGCATTGTCGTATATGAGGTAAATGGGTTCGTCGTCTGCGAAAACTGCATCACACTCTTGAATTGTGTTCGCAAGAAACTCCTCGAATCTCTCTCGCGTCACAGTTTCGAATGCGATTCGGTGGTGCACCAAGCCTACTTCACTAGAAACAGCGAAGGTGACATTGCAATTTCTCCCTCGTTGTCTGTCGACGACTCGTCTTGCAGCGATCCCTCGTGTAGCTCTACCCTGGGAGCGTCGAGTCCAGACGTTATAACCTGTCTCGTCAATGAAGACTAGATGCGCCAGAACACCATGCTGCAGGAACCACTCACCATACTGGACGCGTTGATCAAGAACTTCAGGGGAATTTCTTGCATCAGGGACGTCCTCCACTAGTTTCAGTGTAATCATCATCCCATCCAAGGCCCTGGCTATGGTGGCAGTAGAAACCTGGGGCTTCTCTGGCAGATGCTCACTCAAACTAGCCTTCATTTGTTGAAGTGTCAAGACGGGATTAGCGTCAAGGATGCCTTGCAGATGGTTTCGCATGTCATCATCCATCTCGCTGTGGGTTGCTCCTCCTCTTGCCAGCGTCTCTCGCCTTCCAGTCCTCAAATATGTTGCAACAATTGATCTGGCTGTGGACTTGTTGATGTTCAAATTGACTGCAAGCTGAAGGTAGTCTTGCTCGTTTCCCTCGAAGGCCTCAATCAACCCTTCTCGATCTACCTGGGCCACTCTAGCGTAGCGACCACGAGCTGCCATTTCTGGAAATATGCGTGTAAAACTGTAGCGAAAGCTCTCTTCGAAGTATATCGGCAAAGTGACTCAAGTGCCAAAAAGTGAACCGTATTTATGCCTTCAACATTCTTAAGGAAACAAAAATTTAACAAAGCGTTTTTTAGATTGCACAAATTCCAGAAATGACTGCCCAAAAATGAATTTGAATGACTAAACACACGCCTCAAAAAGCTCCTGCAAATTTGAATGCTGCTTTGTTGAATTGTTAAATTGCATGATTATTATGTTAAATCGAATGACGCAACAGTACATTTGACTGGTCATAAAACGAAATCGAATGACCCTTTTCAGTAGCATTTGATTTCGCGCGAAATAGAATAGCGTAGTGGTTAAATTGGCTGCTCATTTGCCGAAATTGACCGACAAAACCTATATTTTTGCTACCAGAGCATTCGATTCCATTTCAGTGCGATCAATTAAGTGATCGAGCAGCACCTTTCGTTTATGTTCATTCAGATACGATTACAAAACTTCTTGTTCGCTTTTAGACGGCGATTTCAAACATTTGCCATTCTATTTCACTATTAGTTTAATGCCATTGGCACTAGACACAACTAGGGGTTTCTTTTTCATTAACAGTCAATCAAATTAGCTGTACCTGCAATCAATTTAGAATGCTTGCGTAAATGAATGCACGTTTAACGTAAGTGGTCGTCTGTTTCTCAAAACCGAATGCACAGGCAATGAAAACGATTGAATTTTCGTTGAATTGAATGGGATTAAAGACGTGCATTCAAATTCAGACAAAAATGAATGACCGATTTTCAGAAGTGAATGAACATTTCTCGAAATTGGTCGGGAAAACCTATACTTTTCCAATGTTATATGAAATGCTGACTCCTACAGGAGTAATCTGGTCCCTTTTACTCGTTTATTGGTTAGACGGTTACAATATTCACTTAGGTATGCGCAATACTACCGGGGTCCGCTCATAAGTCCGGCGCCTCATAGGTCCGACGCCTCATAGGTCCGACGCCTCATAGGTCCGAAATTTTGGACTTATCAGGCATCGGATTTATGAAGCGTCGGACTTATGAGGCATAACATTTATTTATTCCGCCCCATAGGTCCGACGCCGCTTAAGTCCGCCGCCTCATAAGTCCGAAATTTTGGACTTATGAGGCGTCGGACCTATGAGGCGTCGGACTTATGATACGGCCCCATACTACCAATGAGTCTGTATTTCATAGAGTCATGGGTCCAATATCACGGCGCTGCTTCGGCGTGGATGTGCTGCATTGAGATTCTATTGTGACGTCACTAAGCTTTTTTTTCCCCTATGAAGTAAGCGTTTGCTGTGCTCATGCTTACGGACTCCATGAAATAGACGGAGGCTGGTTACGACCAGTATTGTAATAATTAACCAATAACATAAAGCGACCAGTAATGTGATAAAAATCGACCAGTAATGTAATATCGACCAGTAAAGCATATTTCTGTCAGTAAAGTGACAAAAGAAGCGAACAGTAGTAATGTAATTAAAAAAATTGACCAGTGCAGAAAATCGACCAGTAAAACAATAATTAATTAACCAGTAATATTAATAAGCATAATTATGTTTCTTACTGCTTTGGAATGTTTTTGAGGAACTTTGGATTTTGTGCGAGTGATTTGAATGGTCGGACCCAACCCGACGACTGCTTGAAAGCGTACGCGTTCTGATAAATTTTTTCTTGTTTTCCAGACAATAATTCTCGCCCCTAGTGTCATGTGTTGACAAGTCCCCCCATTCCCTGTCGTATTTCCGCGACAGGGCAATATTAGGATCTTTGGTCACCCCCTCCCTTTCTTCATTCGCCGACTCGGATTTACGCCACCGTCAAAAGGCAAGTCAACCACAGTGGGATTTAAAGTGTAGTTCGAACCTCACTTAATAGCTGCCACGTTTCGGCAGTTTACACGGGGCGGGTACGTTTTCAGAAATGTCTATATGCAAGTATTTCCCCCACAGAGTGAGTTTATTTCTGAACAGTGCACGAAGTATACACGTGTAGAGAACAAAATACGACTGGCTTGGCCTCGATGTAGGATTATTGAAGATTAAGTGTCATTTCCAACCACCCACGTGCGCGCTGCTCATTAGCTGTTTTGGTGTACACACCGAAACAGCTCTTGTTTTTGTAATTTTTTTCCACTCCCCCACTTTTTTCCCCGTAGGATAACACGTGTTTCGTTCTACACAGGACTTTGGGACTTTTTTTTCAAATCCGATTGACTTCAAACCTGGCACACACTAGAACTACCATCTGAAGATCAGGTGGAATTATGACATCATCATGACGCCATCACGTGTCAAGTGACGTCATCCTAAACTTGCATAGTTTAAGTCCCTATATCTACAAAAACGGAGGTCCGATCGGGTTCAAACTCGATGTGCAGGTATTCCGGGAAGTGTTATAGACAAAAAAAATGCAGTGGAGTCACGATGACGTAATCATGCGATTTTATATGAATTATTCATATTTTGGACCTTTTATTCATATCTCATCAACGGAACGTGGTAAATTCAAAATTCTTTTTGCAACAGATTTGTTAGATCGTTGATAGATACAGAGGTTTTTTAATGTGCGACGTCACCATGACGTCATGAAAAAAATGCTTTTGTTTACATTGGATCGACATTTAGACCACCATATATAGAATACTCATGTACAGGTTCATTCGACGTGAAGGAAACTCCTTTATGGCAGTTATTGCTAAAACGGTCGAAACAGCTCATCGGTGTTTGTCCTCAAACACATTTCTATAAGCCGTACGCGAGTACCTTACGCATATTATTGTAATTTCTAAACTGTGATTAGTCAATAGCCTTAGTATTTAACGTGTTGATATTCACCCATATTTT